TTCTTTCTTTCTTTCTTTCTTTCTTTCTTTCTTTCTTTCTTTCTTTCTTTCTTTCTTTCTTTCTTCTTAAAGTTGGCAAACTTTCCAGCTAATGAAATAGAAGAAAAGTCAAAGAGGAGTATTTTTAAAAAACCAAAACTCATTCTAGATGAACGCTACAGAAAGTCGTGACTACCACAATAAACACTTTAAAATACTTGCACCCTTCACTGGTACAACTCCGTGGCCAGACAACCAAATGGCTGTGGACTTCAAAGCCAATTCTAAAATCTCTGTCATGTAAGTTAAAAAAAAAAAAATTATAGGTGCCAAACTATGATATTCTTTAATACTAAGCAAAAGGATAAAACTTACATCCTGTTTAAAAAAGAAAAAAAAAAAAAAACAGAAGCAACAGCCATCAAAATAAAACTAAATTCATTGAATAGTAACAGTATCCAGTCTGATCAGCCTCGTGCAGGCCTGAAGGGGGCAGGGCCTCAGAAGGCGGTGGAACCAAGAGAAACCGGCAAGGGAGCGGCGCCCCCTGGAGGGGGTCTGGGGGTGGCAGGACATTTGTAACTGCCCTGGAACAAAGCGGGGATATACACCCACTCCATTGATAGTTGGGTTTTTTTTTTTTTCCAGTATTAAATTATTATACAGAAACATACCAATTTCTGTTTAGAAATGGGTAATTACTTACTATATAAAGCTGACCGGTGGGCACTGCATTACATAACAAAATTCAGATATTCTCCTTTAAAAAGCATCTTTTAAAATTTGACGAATATACTTTTCCTGTAGTTATTTATTCACAGAAATTCCTATTCCAAATGTTTGTGTCACCAGCGATACTTTTTACTGGATTGTGTCTATGTAATTATGGTATTTTAAAGTATTCTGATAATTTCACAAGTTCCATATATAGGAGGTAGATAGTTCTTCCTCTGCACCATGAATGAGATGGCTTTCATAATAAATCTATCACAATATACCAAGTCTGGAGTTTCTCCACAATCTGGGTTTCTGGAGTGGTTTGCTGTTTATTTAGGACATAGGAGTATTTTTCAAGAATGAAGCTTTTTATATAGCCAAGGATGTTTAGACAGTGAGAAAGTGATCAGTAGAGATTGGTAATTGGGTACATTTTGGCTAAAAAATTCTGTGAAGTATTAGTTCCTGGAGAAAAATGGCTCCCTATCAAGCATGAGTAGCAACATTCATCCAGAGGGCTTGTACTGAGATTCCATTCCTGTCTGTCTATCTGTCTATGAGCACGTATTTGTGTGTATAAATGATTGGCTTTCCATAACTCAGATTATCTGAATTCACGTAAATTTTTGCTAGCTTTGTATCACATAGGAATGGTGGATAAGGAATTATATGTAGGGATCATGACTTCAAGTCTCACAGGGTTGTTTTTTTTTTTAATAAAAAATTTACATGTGATTTTTATTTATCAGAAAGAGAAAATAAAAAGCTTATCCCAGAGTCTACATGCTGCCATTTTACCACTGTGGGAAACATACTAGAAAATGAGTTGAAAGTGAATTATTTTTTACTAAGTCATTCTAATATTGATAAACAGTTAGGGTGTATGGTTATCAAGTAAGAGAATGTAGGCACCCCTAACTGGAACCTATTAACAAAGTAATAGAATATAAATAAATAATTCTCTTAGCTGAAGTATTTGTAAAACATTTTGTTTTAAAACTTCAATTTTAAAGAAAGAGCGGTCATCATCAGATATATATATATATATCTATATCTTATTTTAATGAAGAGGAAAGAAGGTATATATAATAATTTATACACCACTGTGAAACATGTATGAAGTCGAAGGTGCTTGCTGCCTTATTTATCTTTCAGTTACACTATGATCATTTGATGAAACTTTTGCCATGTATGATCCAAAGAAAGAAAATTTATCGTTATGGAAGCGTCATGCTTCTTACAGAAAACATTAGATATAATTACAAATACTGCATTTTATATTCATGTATTGTTTCCTTAAAGGAATCCATAAATAAGCAATAGTCTTGAATAATCCTCGGGTGGGAACCTCAATCACATCCTGTAAATCATTAGTTCAGTTAACAAGAATTAAATGCCAAAATCACTTCATTTTCTCTAGACTTTGACCCCACACATCCATTGGAATACCACAAAGCGAATGAGATGTTATTTTTTGTGTGTGAACAATTCTTTTATTCCTTCATGTTTCAGAACAATGCAAAGCCTGAATGAATCGATAAAAATGCTTTAAGACTTATAGTAAGTATGTTTAATGAAATTTAAAACTGATAGGCATGGTAGCCATTTTATTCTCTCAAGAAACAGGCTTTTCAATGTACTCATTTCAACACAATCCACACTTGAAAACAATGTCTTGCACAAGGTATAAGCAAAGACACAGGGAAAATATTAGAATCACTGTAGGAGTGACGGAAGAAATGGAGAAAGACAGATTCTTCAAGCCTGATCCTTCATGATTCTCTTCTAGTTATTGAGTGTATAAATTTCAATCCCCTCCTACAACTGAAGGGGAAAAACATGATTATCATATCACTCAAAGCTCAGCAACCTTAACTTCAGCTCAGTAGAAATTCCCTCTCTGTGAAGTGACTTTTAATACTCTATTTCTTAACAGAAGCATTAAATTTTGTATGATTAAAAATTTATTTACTCTTGCTTTGTTCACACAGGCTTGCATTTGCAGCACAGTCATCCCTGACCCATCATGGCACGAGTATCTCCGTGTATGGTGAAGGGTTAAAGTGAAAGGTGTCTCCTAATCAGATTCTTGAAGTCATCTTTAGAAAGATGAAAACTGTGCAGAGAAATTGTTGTGGCCTCTTCAGCTTTCCCACTCCTTGGACGGCACCATGTTTTTCATAAGACCAAGGAGTAAGAAGCTATAAATAGACATTATTAGAATTGCTTGGTTTTAGGATGTATTTAATAGAATTAGTGAGTAGCCAGCAGCAATAGGAGCAAAGAGAAGAATTCCTAATAGACCAGAGCCCTGTATAAAGGAAGGAAAATGAATCTGTCACCCTAGTAACATAAAGACATCCCAAAAATTGTTCCTAAAGCAGAATAAAACAAGGTAAGAATGGCCAGTTTCTCAGTTAAATTAATAATAATCAATAGTGGGTCCGGGAGGAGCTTGTGGTGGAGTCCTCCCCATCCCTGCTGAACTTGCAGATTGTGATGGATATGGGGGAGGAGGGAGGATTGGACAACAGGAGTTATCAACAGAGCTCACATTATACATGTATGAAACTGTCAAAGAACAAGCTCAGCAAAGGTTATGTAACAATAACATTTAGCACCGAGACAGTATTGATGGAATCATATCTCTTCTTACCCAGCTTAAGAGGGTGACAGTAGAAACCAACACTGCCCAGGAAGCCTGGACATTTTTAAATCCACCCTCTTTAGTATAATTATTTTTCAGTTCTTAAAGTGTCTTCTCTGTCTCTGATACATGTGCTTGGCTCTCATCAGCACTAATGGGAATTAACAAGAAAATGGACCCTTAATCATTTATCTTACATTATAGGAAAGCATGATTTGCGGCCTTGATTAGAGCAGGAGCTGAACAAGATATTACAAGGATTTGATTCTCTTCGAACGTGTCCATTACACTCATTCAACTGGAAAATCGTTAGAAAAAAATCTTCTAGATCCAACACTGCTGTGATCAGGACAGAAGTGAGTAGACAAAATGATGCAAAAACATGAAAGGTGTTCTGAGACTGGCGATTTACCAGGGTAGACATTATTCGCCATCTCTTCAGCATTCATTTAGCATGTGCTTGATATGCACTAGTTATAATATTGCTCTTAAAATAATAACTTTATTTATTTTCCCAGAGTAAGTTCAGGAAAAGTATTTTGACCTAAGGTTTTAAGACTTAAATATGTTTAAGAAATCTTATTGCTGTGTGGCATGTATTTAAAAATTCAAGCTGAGAGCAACGCTAATCTATGTAAGTATGCTTCAGGTAACACCAAGTGTGTGTTCCTTGAAGCAAAGCAAACTGAAATCTGGGGATGGGGGATCCCACTTGTCCTAGTGCGTGTTATCTGAGGACACCTGCCCTCACTGTGGGTTCTTGCTGTCCTTATCTGCACTGTTTTCCTCCACAGAAGGATGTGCAGTTCACTTCCCTGAAGACATTGTTTGCCCTTCCCACCTGCCAGAAACCACATTTCTCACTCCATCTTGCATTCCAGTGTCTCTCACTATGGGGGTCACAAAGCAGTCACAGTGGGGAAAGAATGCCACTTTAGATGACCATGGTTTGGTGATTCAACTTGTATTTTTATTTATTTCTTTACTGGGAGATTGTTATGTGACATGACTATACTTGATTATTTGGTCTTCAAGTTGATTAAATGTTTAATCAAAGAATGATTTTTTTAAAAGAAGCAAGAATATTCTCTATATTTCCCTTCCGGAAATTTTGTTGTAGCCAAAATCACAGAAATTTAACTCTCAGGAAGGTACCTGTAAAGTAGGATAAAATGCTGTTTTCTCTTATTAAGAAACTCAAGAAAATTAATTTAACCTTAGAAACTAAAAATGATTAATATCAATAACCAGAAGCAAAATACAATAGAACGTTTAATGGGTTCTTCACATAAGCAGTGCAATCATTGTAAACCTCAAACATGTACCTTCCATAGAAACAAGACCACAAAATGTTTAGTAGTACGTTTAAAAAGAAGCATATATTTGCCAAAATAATGTTACAACTTTGACTGAAGAAATTATAAGATAAGTTGAAATAATATGGAAACAAACTCTTCACCTAACTGAAAAAAGGTAGCTTAAAGGTATCAAATATCCCTGTTTTTTTATATACCTGAAAAGAGATCCAGAATAATTTTAAGTCTTCAGTGACTGGATTCATTTCAGTAATAATCCAAAAACCTGTGGGTTAAAGAGACTGAAAAAAAAAACACAATTAACAACATGATATTAGTTTCCCTAAACTACATATAGTAGAATATACTTAATCTACAATAAATAAAATATTTGATTTTAAATAATACAGCAATACAATACATTAATATGATCATTCAAAAGTAAGTTGAATGGTATGCACCCAAATTCCCATGTGAAACAATGAAGTTGGCACAAGTTAGGAACTTGACAATTGCTGATAAGATTTATTTGTCTGAGTCAAGGTCTTGCTAGTAGGGTGGGCTGGTCAAATTTTCACTATGTAGCCTGTGCTGGCCTCAGAAATTTTCTTGCCTCAGTCTCATTGCTCAGTGTGTGGAGGGGCGACAGATGTATGCTACCATGCTTAGCTTATTACTGGCATTTAAACGAACTAAAAACTAGATGCAACTAAGTCCTGAAAAATACAGTTAATGTAGGGAAGCAATATGGAGGTAGCAATAGATTTGTATTTAACAAACAAACAAAATGTTTAAATAGAAAAGTAATAGGTCATTGCAATGAAAATCAGCCATTAATGAGTATGTGCAGCATAAGACACGGTATTAACAATAAGAAAGCAACATATAATTTTGACACTGTGACAAATGACAAATACTTTATGTGATAAGATATTGTGCTAAGTAAATAAACAAATATAGAGTAACAAAAGCATGGATAATGCATGAGAAAATAAATAAGAGATTAATAATTACAGGAAAAACTAATCTTACTAAGAAAGAATGAAATAAAAATTAAACAAAATCTCATTATATTTAGTTTATAAGGTAGTAGTTCTTTTAATAATAACATACCATAATAAAATATAAAAAATGTACACAAAGGTAAAATTATTTGATATATAAATTGGTATGAATTATATGGCAGGAGTTACAGTGATAATTTTATACATTACTATATTTAGTTAGTAATTCTACATTAAGGAAATTAACTGGAAAAAATAACTGAACTCCCTTACAAGTTTCACAAACAGACTTGTGTTTCTTAGCTAGCCATAAAGACATGAGTAACTTATATATACACAATAGGACTCTCATGGGGCATATTTTAAAATGTCTTTTAAAGTAAATATATGAAAAACATGCTCAGTATAGAGAGAAAGGAGAGAAATATATAATAGCAGGTTTCTTTTCATGAATGGCATTTTTGTAAAGTTGAAATCTGGGATCAGTTTTTGATTATACATACTTTGAAATAGTTATTCAATGTAGATAGACTAATACAACAGACTCTGATGACACTCACCCAGACATAATACACACTGCTCCCCGTTGTTTTAACTTCAGCACCATGGCTGTGTCTTTATCTACTGCTATTTCAGCCAGCAGTTGCAACTCTGCAGTTACCTGCCTGCTTCTCAGGCAGTGGCCTGGCCACTGAGGCTATAGCATTGAGGGAATTCTGCTGCAGGCATCAGCTCTGTCTTATCCCATAAAGGTAGCCTTAACGAAGTCTCTATCACTCTATTTATAAATAAGACTCAAGATTCAAAGGTGGGGGTGGAAACCTACTAGCTCAGAGAGGCTAAGTAGCAACTAGTACCTTCTCTCCTTGCTACCACTCCCTAAGAGAACCTGCTTCCACTCTGCCAAACAAACAAACAACAAACGTGCCACTCAAAATGCCTCCCTGCTACTTCCCGTGCATCTCTCTGTCTCTTCCAGATGCCCTCTGATGCTCTATGATTACTTTCGGTAAACTAGTTGCTAACTCAGCCTCCTGACTCAAGGTTAGTTTTATGTAATAAACACAAATGCAAACTTGCACAGTATGATCGAATAGCTCCTACAGCTCCCTCCATTCTCACACATCATTCTGATACAAATCTTAGACTTTGTATAGCTTTATTCTTAATTATTTTAATGTATTTCTAAAGATAAAGACTTTTACTAACTTAATAACATTCACATCTATCATATACTAGTCAATGTTCGAATTCCTCATACTGGGTTTCTTTTTCGTTGTTGCTGTTGTTATTTTAAGTTTTGCACATATTTTAACACAGAAGTCCATAAATGAGACTCAAATGATGTCATTTAAGTATGCTATTATCTGTCACAATTTTTTTTTCTTGCTGGTGGCATCCTGGGATCAATATTGTTGTATTGGACCATCCATGCAAGAGGAATGAATGGTCAGCCTCATCCTTGGCCTCTGTCCATCCACTATCCATAGCACCTCAAAGTATCTTCAGACCGCCAAAGGGTGCAAAGACAGTGGAACAGCCTATAGTTGAAAGTCACTTCCTTAAACTCAGTCCTCCCACCACCACCCAGTACGTTCTCTCTTTCACTGGTTATCTGCTATACAATTTGGAAGATTTGCCCTGTGGCCAGTTCCATGCTGGGCTTTCTGAATGGCATCTCCACAGTAACACATTCTTTCATCTTTGGTATTTATCCAAACTCCTAATACTGCAACTTTTTAATACAGTCTCTCATATTGTGGTCATCTACAACCATAAAATTATTTTTGTTGCTACTTCATAACTATAATTTTGCTATTGTTGAGAATTATAATGTAAATCTCTGTATTTTCCAACAGTCTTAGGTGATCCCTGTGAAAGGATCATTTGAGCCCTGAGGGGGTTGTGGCCCACAGGTTGAGAACCACTGATTTAAACTATCTGTTCAGTTTAGAAGACTGATCACATCATAGATGACTGGAGTCATTCTTATTTCTGCCTCACTCATCTGCTTCATTGAATCAGATGAGACTTTTGCCTGTCAGGCTGTTTGTTGGTATCTTTCTTTTGTTAAAGTTCTACTCATCATTTGTCTTTTTTTAAAGTTTACTTTCCAAAGGCTACACAGGCTCCTTGTAATGTTTTCATGAACATATACAAAGTGCAATGTTTAGGTTGTGATAAACATATCTTCCTCCTGGTAAACTACCGTAATTCAAACCATTAATCACCTCTCATCTAAAGCACTGCTGTGCCACCTCAGAACTGGGTTCTTTTCTGATAGTCCCACATCCTCTGCACTTCACCTCTGCGCAGAGGCCAGGGAGGTCATTCGAAAATACATGCATAGCTATGTCAATTGTCTTCTCACACCCTGTGAACACTGAAGGCCCTTCAGTGGATGTTGTCCATTAGATACTGTCTGAACTCCTTTGGGGGGGGGGGACATCTTATAATGATTAGACTCAAATGCCTTCACTGACTCTTTCCTCCTGTCTTGTTTTCACAAAGATGTCTCTACTTTTTTTCTGTGTATGATTCATGGTTCATAAACAATGCTTAGTAGAAAGTGTTTAAAATTTTGCATAAATGGTATTCTGACTGTGGATATAAAGGCATACACTGCCTCATGCTCCTGCCATCACATTCCACCACCATAGTGTGCCTTTATCTCTTCTTAAACGGTAAACTAAAATAAACACATCCCCCATCTCTTGTTTCTTCTCAGGTATTTGGTCACACACTGCAGTGAGAAAAGTAAGGCAGAAGCAAAGTCCACTTTATTTTTAATTTACCTTTTAAATGTTCATTTATAAATTCTTGAAGATCTGTAATTTACTATATAGCAATCTATTGTGGTATAAATTGCTTAATTATTAATAGTTGGCATGAAGATGCTAAAGAAGGTTGACATGCATAATAAATTTAAACTACAGTAAACTGATTTATATCACAGGAATTAAATGGGGTTAAAAAAAGACCAACTATATCAGCTATGATTTATGTATTTTCATTTATTTTTCCATTTAAAGTTTTTTTAAATATGCTGTAATTTGA